AGAGAAAAGCAGTTAGTTCCTACAAGGGAGAACGCATAAGACTGGCAGCTGATTTCTCAAAAGAAACTATGCAGGACAGAAGAGCTTGGCACAAAATATTCAATGTGATGAAAACCTAGGATCTACAATCAAGAATACTTTATCTAGCAAAGTTATCATTTAGAGTCGAAGGACAGATAAAGGGCTTCCCAGACAAAAATAAGCTAAGGGAATTTATCAACATTAAGCCAGTATTACAGGAAATGTTGGCGGGACTTCTTTAAGAAGAAAAAACATGTATCAAAACAATGAATGAAAAATGGTAATAGCTACATGCCTCCCAACAAGTACCTCAAATGGAAAAGAATTAAGTGCTCTAACCAAAAGATAGAGCGGCTGAATGGAGAAGAAAACAAGACCCCCACATATGCTGCCTACAAGAGACTCACTTCAGATTAAAAGACACATGGAGACTAAAAGGAAGGGGATGGACAAAGATATTGCCTTGATGGACCTAGAGGGTATTGCGCTGAATGAAATGGGTCAGATAGAAAAAGACAAATATTGCATGATGTCACACATAAAGAACAAAATATATAACAACAACAACAACAAAAGCAGAAATAAACTCATAGATACAGAGAATATTTTGAGGGCTACAGATGGGAGACAGGTTGGGGGGAAGGCAAAAAAAAGGCAAAGGGATTAAGAGGTACAAATGGATAGTTGCAGAATAGACGTGGAGATATAGACTGTAGCATGGGGAAGATGGTTAATAATATTATAATAAATATGTAAGGGGAAGAGGGGTACTAGGTTTAGTGAGGTGATAACTTTGTGAGTTATGTGGCTCTCTGATCACTATGCTATACAACTGAAACTGATATATTATTGTATGCCAACTATAATTGAAAAAACTTATTGAATTACAAAATGTAAATACAAGCAACTAATTGTCTATTATATTTCAATAAAGCTGAAAAGAAAAAAATCTTATCTGGAAGTTATGGTTCATATATACAATGGAATATTACTCAACTATAAAAAAAATGAAATCCTATCATTTGCAATGGCATGAGTGAACCTAGAGGTGATTATGCTGAGCGAAATAAGCCAGACAGAAAAATATAAATACCATATGGTTTCACTTTTACGTGGAATCTAAGGAATAAAAAGAACAAACAAATAGAAAGCAGACCCACAAATATAGAGGAAAATCAGGTGACAGCCAGAGGGGATGGGGGTTGGGGGCCTGATAGAAAGTGGTAAAGGTTTAAAGAAGTACAAATTCATAGCTGATAGAGGGTTATGGGGATGGGGAGCACGGCATAGGAAATGCAGTCAGCAGTAAGGTAATGGCTATGTGTAGAACCAGACGGAAGATAGAGTAATCAGCCAGACGGAAGACAGAGTAATCAAGAGATCGTTTCATAAACTATATAAATGTCTAACCAATGTACTATATACTGGAAACTAATAAAAAAAAAACTTATCTGCTCTGTAATGGACTTTTTACCCCCCATCTCTCCTAATTCTTTTCTATTCCTTTCACCTCTGTCCTTCTCCCCTCCTTATTCCTGCCATCTCTCCTCCCTAATCCTCATTTAACATCGTCGAATCTTCTCAAAGACCCTGGCTTTCTACGCAGTGAACACTCCATTCTCCAACTCCAGTTTTCACTGTTTCTTGTCTCTCGACCTTCATTCTCACACTTCACTTAGGCCAACACTGACTGCTGGAGGGCCAGGTTTTCAGAGGTGCAGAGAAAAGGTTTAAAGGTCCCCAACCCCATAAGCTGGTTCTGATAGCATGTCCCACCTGCTGGAGGCTGATCATTAACCCAGAGTTTATATAAGAAAAGAGCCATTCCTGGAATGAGAACAACACTGCCTGCAGCCATGGCCAGCACATTAAGCCCCAGCACCACGACTGGGACCCCAGACCCTCCTGAGATGTCAGAACGCATCCGAAATGCTGCTGATATCTCCGTCATTGTGATCTATTTTCTGGTGGTGATGGTCGTTGGGCTGTGGGTATGTAGGAGCCCCATGGGGCTTTTAGGGTGGGCACAAAACTTAGGGGTAAAGTATCTAAGGGAGGGAAAGGTATGGTGTGACAAAGGCAAGAGAACACGAACAGCTGTCACAGATTTCATTGTCCTCTCAGAATCATTTTCTTGTGTGTGACATCAATAGTGCTTACACTGGATTTTTTCTCCTAACAACCCTATCGTGTGAACGGGGCCAGTAATGGGAACTTCAGTGTTATTCTGTTCAGCGTCTCCAGCATGTGGCACAATGAATAAGGACATTATTTTCATTATCTCACTTCCTTTATTTTCCTTTGTTATTTGCTCATTTTCTAACTTAGTTGAGTTGAATGCTTGATTCATTGATGCTCCTTCTTTCTTTTTAGTAATGGGTTTAAGGCTACAAATTTTCTTCCAGTGATACCTCTTGATGTTTTCATCAATGGAAATAAACTGAGCAATTAGGACAAAAGTAAAGATATATAATTTCCTAAAGTCCCCGGGCATCTATGGAACTATGACTTCGAAGTCCTTTAAAAACAGATGTTATATCACAGTTTCCAGGAAAATATTTCTTCAGGAGAGCTGGAAAAGGTCACTTTCATCAGCACCATGGCCACAATACCTGGAACATCTTGGGTGCATTTGCTGTGGTTTGACTGACACATGTCTTCCCTTCTGCTCAGGCGATGCTGAAGACCAACCGGGGCACTGTCGGAGGCTTCTTTCTAGCTGATCGAGATATGGCCTGGTGGTCGGTGAGTAGGTCACAGTTTCCTGGAGATAAATGTCCTAATTGTGTATATGTTTAAGAGTAAATAAAGAAAACATAGAGAATGCTGACCATTTCTGATGTGTGCTTGTTGCCTAATTCCTGGTGTTTTTTTCCCCAAATTTCTGACCTCAGGGCTCTGTCCCATTATTTCAGTAAATCACTGTGTGTCACCAATTATGAGAGCAAGTGTAGTGTGGCATCTGAGAAGATCCGATTCAGCTCTGCTTCATATTCTTTTTCCCTGGTCCTCATTAAGAATCTCCTATCTTGGCCCTTATGGTTCCCAGCACATCCCTTCTGTTCCCAACCCTGAGTTAATGCTGCCCCTTTTGTTCAATGAGTGTCCCCGTCTCCGCTCTCCTCCTTCAACACCCCGCTCAAGCCCTGCTTCATCTGAGAAGCCTCACCCTGCATTCTCGCCTGAATGTCTAGTTCTTTGTTCTATGCAGTTGTGATAATGGATGTGTGTTCCCTGTGATGATGCAAATGGTGATGTCTCCTTGACTCTTGTCCAATTGGTATCTTCCTTACTGGGTTCTGATGTCCAGCCTCCTTGGCCAGAGTCTCATTGCAGCAGAGGGTGCATCTTCTTCTCTGAACCCATGCACTGTCAACTGTGGGTTGGGTATACAGCGGGTGCTCAGCACATGCTTCCTTCACAGATCTGCTGACTAAATAGTATGAAGCAAAGTGGAGATTGGTAAATGGCCTGACCTGGGTGGTTGAAGCAGACCAACTGCAAGCTCAAAATGGATTTTTTTCCAATCCAACAAGAGTGTTTTTATGAAATATTCAAGGCTCAACCAATTCTATAGCCACAAATAACCTTAATCTCATACCCTGGCCCCAAAGCCTGACTAGAAAAGGTGATTTTACAGAGGCCTGAAAAGATGGGAATAGAAGAATGGGCACTGCAGGGGTCTCATACCCCAATTCCGTTCCATCACTAGTGCTCATCTGTGCTCACTCAAAAGACCTCTCTTGATCTTTGAGACTTAAGAACAGTAGACAATGTGATTGGAAGGGAGGTGGATTAAATGAGGTTCCTTAGGGCCAGAAAGATGAAGAAGTACTCCATCCTACCCAATTTTGGGGTCCTTGAGGCTGGTTGAAGGGGCTGATGGGAGGTCTGGCAGTTCTTGGCCAAGGACAGGCTCAACTCAGCATTCAGGTAGATAGATTAATAAGGTTCCTCTAAAGCAGGGATCAGCAAGCTTTTCTATAAAGTGCAAGATTGTAAGTATTTTAGAGTTTATGGGCCAACACTGCCTCTTGAACCATACAACTCTGCCACTGTAGTCAAAACCTAAAACCAATGAGCATGGCTCTGTTCCAATAAAACTATTTATGGACACTGAAATTTGAATTTCGTATTATTTCACCCTTCATAAAATATCATTCTTCTTTAGATTTTTTTTTAACCATTCAAAAATGTAAAAAATATCCTTAGCTTACCAACCATATAAAAACTGGATTCAGCCCATGAGCTGTAGTTTGCTGACTCCTGCCCTAAGGAGTAGAGATGAAGAGATCTCAACATTTACCTGCTTTCAAGAAGTCTTATTTGAGTCTTTTAATTCTGATCCTAGTCCGTTCTCTTGGATTCCAGATGGGCGCCTCTCTCTTCGCCAGTAACATCGGCAGCGGCCACTTTGTGGGGCTGGCTGGGACTGGAGCGGCTTCAGGAATTGCCATTGCAGCGTTTGAATGGAATGTAAGTGACATCATAGGCTTTTCCCTTTAAATTAAAACTCTGTCCAAGTGTATTTTTCTGGGAGTCTCTATAGGATAAACACTTCTTTGGTTTGGTTTCTATTTTCCCTTCTCCCAATCTACACTTTGTTTGAAATTCAGGGCTTTCCTTGTATGGCCCTGTTCTGCCTGGGCCATTCCAGTCACATTTCTCATCTCTGAGATGTTGCTCAAACAGTTATTGCCATCAGGAATGTCATTTCAATGACAAATGATTCAATCCCCACTTTTACTTAATCTCCTTGATTATTTTAGCTCTCACTTCCATCTCTTCTCCCTGAGCTATTGCACTACATGTCCAGCTCTGAATTAGATGCAGGCAATAAAAAAGTGTAAAAGCAATGGTCCCTTCTTTTGAGAAGCTTACATCCCAGTGAGAGAGAAAGATATGTATTCAGTACAGTGTACAGAAAGTAAGGAAAAGAAGCATCCATGGAGTCTTGAGGGATCTCACACAGGACAGGAGTTCATCCAAGATGATAGGTGGGATTTGGCATGTGTCGAGGGAGCTTCCTGGTGCTGATGACAGATGGATGCATAGAAACTGACCAAGTGCCACCTGACTAAGGAAATGACAGCAGAGTGAGGAGTGAATGATTTAGAGATACAAGAGTTTGTGACTAAGTTCCTAGTCGTTCTACTGCTACTTCACCAGTAAAAGCTGTGTTCTCTACTGGACCCTAAATTTTTTAAGGACAGGGACCATCTCCTCTCATGTCACTTATGCCACCCTATCATCTAGCACTTGGCTGAACACATGCCATAAATAGTCCTTGAGCTGCCTAAGTTTGTTTTTTTCCTGCTCTTTTTCTTATCCTTTCTAGTGTTTGCATGTTCATATGTCTGCGTATCAATCAGAGGGAGATGCTTATGTGGAAAAAAATTGGATCATAGCAGTTATGTGAGCAGACCATCCCTGGATGGACTCAACAAGTGACCTTGAATCATCACAGATATCAGTGCCCCTCCTTTGTTGAAGATTTTGCCCCTAGTTTTACTTCAGCAGTATCAGGGACCAGAATGGACTCAGCCTCCAGATATACTTTATGGCCTGACTTTTGTATTAATAGTGCCATGGACACTATCAGCCAGCCTCCAGAAGTATGGACAAAATTTCCTATGGCCCCAGTGGGTGTGATTATAAGGCTGTCGAGAGCCTGGCTCTTTTAGCCTGTGACCTTGGGCTTCTTCAGTCTCGGTGAGGCTCAGATTTCCCCTCCATAAAATAGAAATAACTGTGTTTATTGTATCCACCTCGCCTGGTTATTGTGAGAGTAAAATGAGTGATATATGTGAAGACTGTTATCATTATTATAAACGAAGAACACTGGAAATATCTTTGTATCTCAGAATTTCTGTGCTCACATCTCTTATTTTCTGTTCATTTTTTACCACACATCTTTTGTCACATCCTAAGCCCCAGAAAACAGTGGCCTCTGTATCATGGAAACAGAGGAGAAGAATCTGCAGCTGTCTTGGGATGGATCATAATCGGTTGAGTGGGACAGGATCCAATCAAATTTATAGCAGGTCCTCGAATAATGTCAATTCATTCAGGGCTGTTTCGTTATAACATTAATGAGAAAAAAAAAATTGATTCCCATTCAGGGCCATGGTCTGTGTGGAGTCTACATGTTCTCCCCATGTCTGTGTAGGTTTTCTCTGAGGACCTCAGTTCCCTCCCATATACCAAAGATGAATTGGCATGTCTAAATTGTCCCAGAATAAGCGAATGTGGGTGAGTGTGCCCTGCGATGGAAGGGCGTCCTCTCCAGAGTTGATTCTCACCTTGCACCCTGAGCTGCCAGGAGAGATTTCAGCCACTCACCACCCTAAACTGGAATAAGCAGGTCAGAAAATAATTATCTTACTCGTTTTTATTCATCTTTCTTAAATGTATGTAAACTTCACATTTATTTCAATGTTTCATATTAGAAGAGTTTGGGGTCTTTATTTGGAAATCGAGTGATGTTTTTGTGACCAGACATATGCTTTAGGAACTTAACTCTAGTTTAATCAATTAGCCTATGGGAAAATTAATTTGGTTATACATCATTTTGTTTAAAGTCACAGTTCCAAAGAATCTATTGATGACATTGAGGGAGGACTTACTGTATTTGATTTTCAGACTCAGAGGTCATAAAGTGACGAGGCCCACAAGCCAAGCCTCTCTAACTTCACACTCTCTTCTTGGTTTCTTGTAGGCTCTGCTGCTGTTGCTGGTTCTAGGGTGGTTCTTTGTCCCCATATACATCAAGGCGGGGGTGAGTATGCACAGGTGTTCTCGGCCCAACTGTCAGGCATTCATTTTTTCACTCATTTTTTTCCGCTCAATCGTGAAACCTGGGTAATATTGTCCTAGGATTTCTGGGCTTACATTAACAAAAATTCACTAAGTGCACACTACTCTTACAAACGGCTGCAATCGGCTGTTCCCTGGCCATCGGTCTTTGAGGGTTCCCATTTCCCCACATCCTCACCAACACGTGGCATTTTCCTTCATTATAATTATTGCCATTCTGACATTTGTAAAGTAATATCTTTTTTTAATGAAAGGTAAGATATACCACAGCTGGGGTGTCTCCCCTTCAACGTCGGAGCTGCCAGCTAACTGTGGCACTGCTCTGTCTCTCTGAGCCTTACTCCCACATTTTTTCCTTCTGCTTCTGTTGCTCATACCATGGTGCTATATACTGAAATAAGTCCTGGGATGAGGGTGTTCAGGGGGCAAGCCTTGTGGTTAGTCCCTCTGCAAGTCACCATATATTCCCCATTTGCTCATCCTGGGTCCCTCCTAGCTTCAGGCTTGAACAAGCTCTGTTGAATGATGCTGTCCTTGGTTCAAGTACTTGTTAAAAAATAATAATAACTGGAGCCACTTTAAAATGGATTTGGAACTGCCTTGCATGTCTTATACCTCGAACCTTTGGAATGTTAACACAGGGCAAAACGGCCTTTGCCTAAAGCGACTGGGCCTTGTATCCCAAAGAACTGCTTGCAAAAATAACAAGGAAGCAGAAATTATGACCACTGGACTGATGATTACCATATTGAAAATTAGAGTCATCGTTTAGAATTAGCATCACTATGTTAGTTTTTCTGCACCAATACAAATGCCTTCCTTCTATCGATGTAATTGGTCCCCTTTCACTTCTCATAAATACCCCTTGCCCTTGTCTCCTAATCAGAAGACTATTTGGGCTTCTGCTTGAATCAGTGTTTTCTGAATAGACCTTCTTTGATCTCAAATAAATGCTTGTTGCCTCTCACTTTTAAAGACCTTTTATTTTTAAGTTAATAGACTCATACCACAGAACTCACACGTGTGTTCTCAGATGTGTCTTACCATCTTTCAGGGAACCCCATAGTTTCTGAGCCACTAAGAATTCCCCTTCCTGTTTTTAATAATATTATCCAAGTATTTATTTAACATTCTTTTATACTGAGGAAGATTAAATCATGAGCTCAATCTGCTATGATGAAACCAGAAAATTGCATCTTTTACGCTACACATCACAGTTGATCTCATATTTTAGTACTTACAACCACAGGTTTTTCTCTAAGTAGGGATTTAATGTAATTCCTTTCTTTTCAATAAAGATAATCACATAAATATATACCCAAATATATATTTGTGATTTGTTTAATTATAAAAATATTATGTAAACATAATTTTGGTTCATTATTTACTAGTAATATTTTTGGACTTCAATATCATTGGTAAAAGTATCAAAATTATTTGTTGAGTGTCTACCATGCATTTGATGGTGGTGTATTTTACATCTACTTTCACATGAAACACTCACTTTACAAATAAGAAAATAGAGCTTCAAAGAAACTGTTATTTGCCAAAGATCAAATAGTAAACGTCGGCTGAGAATGGTTCCCAACATCTGTGTTCATTCTAGCCTTGCTGCTCTCCCAAAGGACTGTGCCTTTCTCACCTCTGATTTCATATGCTTACCAGCCCATAGGTGCTTGGTAAATGTTGAATAATAGGAATCTGCTGGGAACTCAGGGGGAAACTGTATTGATGTCTGTCTCTGCAGGTGATGACCATGCCGGAATATCTCAGGAAGCGGTTTGGTGGGAAGCGACTCCAGGTCTACCTTTCTGTCCTCTCCCTCTTCATCTGTGTGATTTTGAGAATCTCAGTGAGTTCGGTGCTCCTGGCATTTTAACTTCGCAAGATTGCTTTGATGGGGCTAGAGCACAAAGATCAGACAACTGAATATATAGACTATCACCTACAGGTAGAGTCAAGCCATCGGGATGTCTTAAACTACTGAGTTTTTATGGGAAAAGGAAGCTTCAGAGACCCTGTATTCATAGAGTAAAAGGATTTAAAGTCATGAGAGGGTCCAGAGTATAAACTTACCCTTTTGTTAAGGATATTAAAAAAATGGATGTACAGAAAGAACAAATGTCTCATTTAAGTAGCACAGCTGTTTAGCTGTAGGAAAAAAAAAAAAAAGGATTCTTTGGTCTCCTGCCTCTCCACTACACGATAACTTCTTATTCTCTTTGTCAGAACCAGTCTATATTTTCATTTTCACCTTGATTATCTGACATTTGAACCAGAAGAAAAGTGCTATGTATTATGATACTGAATGTCCTTAAATTTATTTTATCTAAGACCACCCTTATAAAACAGATGACATAAATAAATGTTAAAAGTTTTTATAGAGTTAAACTCCATTGAGGAAAGAAGAAAGGAATTTGAAGATTCAGCAGCACATGTAGAAAACAAAGAAAGAGTAACTCATTTGCTTCTCATGTATCGATAACTAATGAAATAATCTGCAAGTTCAGTCTATGCAGTTCATGAGATAAGCTGACCCCTACTATTGCTCTTCTGTTGACCATTGTTGGAAGTAAATCAGATGCTTAGATCATGTGGTGCAAGCCTTCCTAATGCAACGTGAGCATTTTTCAGCACTTTCTGCATATTATTGAGCTCCATGCTAGGGTTAACAAAGATTCCTATGCACTAGGAGTTCACCATATGGTTTAAGGAGATAAGAATTTAACCATGAAACTGTTAGCACTTTTGTCAATATCTGAAAATGTATTACAATACAAGCTGGAATAGTGTGTGTGGATAAGTACAGGAGGTGTACTATGGACACTCGGGAAAAAGGGTATTCCCTGCTGGGTGAAATTGGAGATTATCTTCTGGGGGTTGGGGACACATAAACAAGTCCCCAGGACTAGAAAATTAGGAAAGGCTGAGGAAAGCAGAGCAGCTTGCAATGTTCCACAAGCAGGTGGAACTCAATCATCTCCCACTTCTTTGTCTCCGACATCTACAACTTTGTGGTCCTAAAGAGCATGAACAAGGTGCTGGAGCAGATGACAGAGTGCCAAAGGAGCCCTGAGGGATGCAACCTCCTTTGATAAAAGATTCCTGGGGTGGGGAGGAAATGGAATGATAGGGAGCTGGATGCGGGAGCAGAGAAGGCTGAGACCACATGTGTGATTGTGCAGGGTCTGTGATCAGCTGGAAAGATACAGTACCAAGGAGTCCATTCTTACCTACAATGCTATGTTTGAAGTGGTATTAATGATGATTAACCTTAGACATGACCTTTTGTTTACGATTACACTCTGATAACACCTTCCGTGCTGGTTACTTATTAAACATAATTAAAGATAATTACGGGGGGTTAGGACAGAACAGATTTCACAATCCTCCCCTGCCCCAGGTCTAAAAAAAATCATCTTGTTCACTGGTTCTCAACCACCAATATCATGCACTGAGAATCACTGCAGACATGACCCACCTTTATCCTTAAATATTCCAGGCTCTATGCCTTAAAGACATCATTATTCTTTTAGAAAACCTCATTGCGATTTTATTAATTTTTACTTTTCGATTAGAGTTGACATTCAATATTATTTTATATTAGCTTCAGGTGTACAGCATAGTGGTTAGACATTTATATAATTTACAAAGTGATCCCCCTGATTATTCTAGTGCCCACCTGGTACTATACATAGTTAATACAATATTATTGACTACATTCTCTATGCTGTACTTCACATCCCCATGACTATTTTGTAACTACTAGTTTGTACTTCTTAATCCCTTCACCTTTTTCACCCAGCGACCCAACCTCTCTCTCATCTGGCAATCACCAGTTTGTTTCCTGTATCTATGAGTCTGTTTTCATTTTGTTTGTTCGTTTATTTTGTTCTTTAGATTCCACATATGTGTAAAGTCATACGGTATTCGTATTTCTCTGTTTGATTTATTTTACTTGGCATAATACCCTCTAGGTCAATCCATGTCATTGCAAATGGTAAGATTTCATTTTTTATGGCTGAGTAATATTCCATTGTACATATGTACCACTTCCAATTGTCTGTTGATGGGCACTTAGGTTGCTTCCATACCTTGGCTATTGTAAATAGCACTGCAGCAAACATAGGGATGCATATGTCATTTCAAATTAGTGCTTTGGTTTTGCTTGGATGGGTACCTAGAAGTGCAGTGGCTGGGTCATAATGTAGTTCTATTTTTAATTTTTTGAGGAACCTCCAAACTGTTTTCCATAGTGGCTGTACCAATTTGCAATCCCACAAACACTGTATAAGTGCTCCCTTTTCTCTACATCCTTGCCAACACTTGTTCTTTGATTTATTGATGATGGCCATTCTGACAGGTGTGAGGTGATATCACATTGCAATTTTAATTTGCATTTCTCTGATGATCTTGAGCATCTTTTCATATGTGTATTGGCCCTTTGTATTTCTTCTTTGGAGAAATATCTATTCAGGTCTTCTACCCATTTTTTAATTGGATTGCTTGCTTTTTGTTGTTGAGTTGTATGAGTTCTTTATATATTTTGGCTATTAACCCCTTATTAGATGTAAATATCTTGAGGAAATATCTTTTCCCACTCAGTAGGTTGTCTTTTTGTTTTGTGGATTTTTTTGTTTGGTTTCTTTTGCTGTGCAAAACTTTTTAGTTTGATGTAGTCCCATTTTTTTATTTTTTTATTTTGTTTCCCTTGCCCAAGGAGATACATAAGAAAAGAAATTACTAGTAGCAATAATAATGCCTATGTTTTCTTCCAAAAGTTTTATGGTTTGGGGTCTTACATTTAAGTCTTCAAATCCATTTTGAGTCTATTCTTGTATATGGTGTAAGAAGGTGGCCCAGTTTCACTTTTTTGCTTGTATCTGTCCAGTTTTCTCAATACTATTTGTTGAAGAGACCGTCTTTACCTTATTGTATATTCTTGCCTCCTTTGTCATAGATTAAATGACCACATAGGCATGGATTTATTTCTGGGCTCTCTATTCTGTTTCATTTACACTTTGTATTTTTTAAATTAGGAAATTAAGTTTGATACAAACTAATATGTAACCTACAAACCTTATTCAGATTGTCCTAATGTTCTTTAAGAGCAAAAGAAAATCATTTTTAGGAGAATTATTTTATAATCATTGTGAATGTAATTAATTCCATTTAATTGTACATGATAAAATAGCTAAAATAGTAAAATAGATATATATAATTCACCATAATAAAAAATCATTGGTAATATAAGCTGCTTACATATATAATTTCAAAAACATCAATTTAATGCCATAATTGTACTATGTAAAAGAAACAAAAGTCAAACAGGTAATGTTTGTTTTAATACATAAATGATTAGATGTGAGTACACAAATCTCAATGCTGTGGTTCGATAATTGCCACCACCACCACCCCTATATAGATCAGTACGAATGTGACAGTTATTAATGCAGACAGATGATGATATGTTTCATGACAACTCAAATACGATGAATGACATCTCAGTAGGTGATATCTTTTCTAAAATGTTAAATAATTCTTCGGTAAACATTCAATTTTGTAAAAAATATAATCTTCCCTCAATTTACACAGTAGTTGCATTCCTTGAAAACCTAGTGATAACAAAGTTTCAGAAAGTACTTTGTGTTTGTAACACAGAATTAGATTCTAGGCCCAGGTAATCAAGAACAGGCTTTTTTACCAGCACAAATATTTGGTGAGATGTTAAAACGTCAAGTTTTATTTCAAACCTTAAGGAAGAAAAAACTGCCATCTTCTGTGACACTCCTTCCAAACCCAAGTTCTACAAAGAAATCTACTTCTGATTCTTCAGATTCTGAATCCTGCCACTTTATTCCTTTCCCTTAGATTCCATGATCAATCCTTATAATTACTCTTCAGCACATAGCCTCAATTTCTTTGCCTACCTCTCTTTCATTGAACTCCCCTAGCAAAACTCCAACTCTGAATGAATCTAGCTTCTCCCTACTCTGTGCCCATACCCAGGTATACTACTTCTGTGTTTTTAATTAGCATGCTTATATGCTATTTCTCAGGGTTTTGTTTTGGTTTGGTTTAATTTTTCATTTTTGATATGGAGTCTGGTAGGTTCAGAGTTGAAGGGGCATATCCAAGTGAGGCCAGCACAAGTTGTGTTGAAGAAAGATCAGGGAAGCTAGGAGCACTCTTTGGGTATCCAGGGGTGCTGGCAGAGCTGGGTGGACATGATCTCAGGGTCTCTGCTGACATCTAAACTTCAACGATTTCTAAACATCAGAAATCATTTTTTTGTCTGTGTTATTTTAATGATATTTTCCCTGGTCCTCTCGATGACTATTCCAAACTCTCTACAACTTTTTTAGTTTCTGGACCTCTGCCTCTTATCAGAAAGCCTCATCTCCCGCTTTACCTAAAAAATTTAGGCAGGAACCACTTATACCCCTCATGCCATTTTTTCCTTCTGCCCACCACTCTAAAGATGAAGAGTCTTCCTTTTGTCAAAAGCCAACCCTTCTGCCTATGCCTACTCCCGATCACATTTCACCTCAATGTCTCTGGCTAGTTGCTTCATAATTAGTGTCCCCTCCATCATGTTTTACCTCTAACTTTCTACTACCCCAAACATGCTCAGGAATCTTCCTTTCTAACAATAACCATTCCTTATTCTGTGACTCTTCTATCTACTACTCTGTGGTGAAAATCATGAAAGAGTAGTCTACACACACTCTATTGTAGATTTTTCTCACTTTCCATTCACTCACTCATCATTCCTCTCAATGGTCAGTTCAATAATTGATCCTCTAAGGATGAGATGTGTCTTCCAAGGATTTCATAACCGGATTGCAGAGATCGCATGTGCAGCTACAGTAAATATTAGTGGGAAATCATCAGTGAAAAGCTAAGTAATGCAACACATATTTCTTTTTTATTCTGGCTATTCCCTTTTAGTCAGACATATTTTCTGGAGCCATATTCATCAAATTGTCCCTGGGGTTAGACCTTTACCTGGCGATCATCAGCCTCTTGGCTATCACTGCTATCTACACGATCACTGGTAAGTCTGCTGCATGTTTAGCTTAGACATGCTAGCTCTGCTCATTTCACCCCAACCTGCAATTAGCAATCTCATTGTTTGCCTTGTCATTGCTAAGGTAATGATATTTTTCCTCCCATTTTGAGAGTCAGGCACAGCCTAGAAACACAACAGAGCAAAGGAAACAAAATCCTCAGTATTAGGTATGAGCACTTTAATCAGGGATAGTGATATGGTGAGTGGAGTTGGAAAATGCTAATTTGGCTCATCCATGTTTCAGTACCCATCTGGGCATTTGGAATCCAGCGTATCCTACACATGGAAGGTCAGGATGAAATAGCAGCTCAGACACGAGACTGGCAAATCAAAGGCAGAACACAAATGAATACAGGATGCCAGGGCATGGGGTGGGCTCTGAATGGCAGAACCAGGAGAGGAGAACTGGAGCAGTAGGTTAGTTGTGGGAAGAAGTTATATGGCAACAGTCCAAGAAGGCTTTCATGAACCAGATACATCAGTATAGTGTCTCATGCATACTAATTTATGAAAAGCAAACTATATCAGCTCAGTTGGAAAAAATAAAGAAAAGTAAAAGCTTGAACAATCAAGGAGCCATTTTCATACATTAAATAAGTGGGAGCTGAATAAGTTGAATTCTTTCGGAATATGGTTGCTAAGTTGAATAAATTTTCAAAATTCATTAAGTTCAGAATAAGTGAGACATGAATCTCCTGTTTTCAGGATCACTCTTGTTTCTTCATGACACTCTCATAAAGGAAATATCTTGTTGACTAAGAATCTTGTGAGTCTAGAGTTGAAAAAGAAGTTGTTATTTATACAACATTGCAGCAAAACACAAGTCAACAACAACATCTTGTACTCCATTATTGGAAAAAAATAAAAAAACAGTATGTTCCCACTCTACAGAAAAAACAACTTAGCCAAGAGGAGCTTTCGGCCCAGCCAGAAAGCTTTTTATATGTTTTCTGCCGAGTCATTTCCAGGGTTTGAGTAGAGGAGAACCTAGAGGTAAAGGCAAATAGATGAGGGCACGTGAGTAAAATGTCTAGTTCTTTCCTTTCTTTCCACAGGGGGCTTGGCCTCAGTTATTTACACAGATACCTTGCAGACCATCATCATGCTGATAGGTTCTTTTATCCTCATGGGGTTCGGTAAGTAGGGATCGTGTAAGCAAAGCTCTGGGCTTAGAAATCATGGGACTAGTGTCTGTTCAGTTAATCTCCTCTTTACTGCTGCCTCCCAGTTCTATCCGGTCACATGTTTCTATCATTTACATAATTCACAACATTGAAATGTCTGCCTAACTTCTTTCTTGATGTACTATCACAGCATGAGGAAATGAGGGAGGAAAACTTAATTTCTTTCAAAAAATAATCGCTCAGGTAAATTATCTTGTTTAATCTTAATATCTTTGTGTTCGGAATGAACAAAATTAGTATCATTGGGTTGATAATTTTACAAAATTATCGGTGCATTGGACTCAATGTACAGAAACCCTTCATTTACCTAAATTCCTCATAAAATAAAGGATTGAATATTAGAAAAATTTAAATAACTGAATATTACTTCATCATGACTGTTTGGGATGAAAATTATTAAAGCATATTACTTACTTTATTGTTAGAACATATGAACACGGGTTGGAGTTTCCTTTACGACTCTCATTTATTAATATCATCAGTTCGTTCTCTCTAGTAAAGGAGTTTCCTTTATGACTCTCATTTATTAATATCATCAGTCATACCAACAAGCACTATTGATGAATTTAATTTACATCTTGCTAATTTTGTTTCCTTTTGTTACAATATATGTTTATCTTTGTATAAGAAATCCATGTACACAGTAAAAAGAATATAGAGGGCAAATAAATGTCTTTTCATTGCTCCCCTGTCCTGTAGCCACCATGCTCCATTCACTCAAGCTGCACTGTATACATTTCTGAATATGCATGCACCTAAACATAAAGGTGCATGCATAAAGCAAAACTGATAGAACTGCAGTGACAACAAATCCACAATGATAGTTGGTGATTTTGACACAGTATGTATGCCATTAGTCACATAAGGCTATTTAAACTTAAATTAATTAAAATTACAAATTCAGCTTCTCATTTGCCTAGCCATTTTTTGAAATCTTAATTATGTGGCTAGTGGTATCCAAATTGGACAGCACAGATATAGAACAGTTATATCACTGCAAAAAGTTATATTGCACAGTGCTGCTCCAAAGGCAACTGTTAGTATCAGTTCCTTGTGAACTTTCTATTTAGTTAGCCAGAAGACCTATGCAATTCTTGTTCATTGTTCTTTGGTTTCTGGCTTCTATGGTGATGCACTCCCTAGCATCAGCCTCTCTAAGCCTCTCATTTCTTCCATCCCTTACAGTTAAGAGTAAAGACTCTCTCATCTTCTCGGGTCTCACATGTATTTTTGTTACAAAATATATTTCCCTTATCAGAACAATTTCCTTGTATTGTCTGTATCTTCCATTAGGTTGAGTTCCTGCCTTGCACATTTATTTTGCATATAATCCCACCACAATGTTTGGCACATACAAACATATTGGTGCTTATTATCAGATAAATAGTGAATAAGTAAATTAATGTCAGCCTCAACTCCACAAATGTATGATACTCTGATGAATTTTGCATCATTTGAATCTATACCTAGATGCCTGGACCCTTCTTTCTGGGGGTTCCATCTATTATGGTTCTTTTCTACACGTGTCTAGCCTTTCCACACTTCCAGTGGGCTGAGTCTCATTATTTCTTCTCACCACACATAATCTGCTGCCTCCAATTTCTGCTTCTAAACTTCTAGATTTTTTATTGTAACTTAAGTAGAATATAACACTGTACCAGAACACCAGAGGGTGTGTAAGGTCAGACCAGCCAGGCTCTGTGTCAGGAAGAGAGGCCGTTGTTTCCCTTTTCAGAGGAGTTTGGGGCTTTCTGGTGGCTGATCTCGTCAGGCTCACTCTGTTAGCTCATTTTCAGGTTTATTTCTGCTCTGGATGATTATGAGATATCAATATCAATCTGTTGGATAACAGTCTTATTTCTACCATAAAGCTATTTCTATTATTTAAATCAAAATTTTCAAGAATACCATAAAAAGAAGGGTGATTTGCTTTATGGACTTTGCAAAAGTAACATGGTCAGTGCCAGTAGAGGTACGAGAAAGACATTGATCCTGGGAAGAGAATACAGAGGATTTGACCAGGCTGATTAGAGGTGCTTGGGTACCTCCACTATAAAGGAATAATTATGATCACCGGGTGTCTTAGATTTCCGTGAAACGTTTTACTTCATACAATGCCTTTTCAGCATTTGCCGAAGTCGGAGGCTATGAGAGTTTTGCAGAGAAGTACATGAATGCTATCCCATCCATAGTCGATGGGGACAACCTGACGATTAGCTCCAGGTGCTACACTCCTCAGGAAGACTCATTCCACATTTTCCAAGATGCTGTCACTGGGGATATTCCATGGCCAGGAATGATATTTGGAATGACCATCGTAGCTATGTGGTACTGGTGCACAGATCAGGTAAAGTATGTGTGTGTGTGGTATGTGAATATATTTATGTTGTTCTTTTATCTTTCATCAAAAAGCATCTAGTTTCTATTTTGTATATATACATACATTATTTAAAGAGTCGAACACTTCTACAAGGCTTGTGATAATAACTGATGTCCCTCTCTCTACACTATTACTTGTCTCTCAAAAGCAAACACTTTCAGCTCCTTCAGTTACATATTTTGATATGTATTTCTATTATTTAAATCCTTGTACTTGATGTATGGCTTGTGAAACATTGGCATGGGTGTAACCTTGGAGCTCATTAAAAATAAATGCTGTCAGATGCTACTCAGACACGCTGAATCAGGATTTGCTCATAATTGATCCCCGGGTTATTCAAATAAATGCTTATATTGTTCTCTTTCGGTTTTCCAGTTTTAGGATTTTTCTATTGGTTTCCCATGAGAGTTGAGGTAAACATTTAGCTCTTTCAACTTTCCATCCTCAATCCCACACAAGCATACCTCCCGTCCTCCCACCCTCCCAATAGATCTAATTCACAATTTCGGTGAGTTCAGTATTGAGTGCTACCATTTTTGTGACTACACAAAAATAATTCATGGTTAAAATTATTATTATTATTATTATTATTATTATTATTCATGGTTGAGTCACATGATATTCTTTGATTTCCTTTAGCTTTTTTTTCTCTAGGTAAATAATTCTTCTAACAAATAATTCTTAACTTTTTGTTTTAAATTTTCTCAATAATTATTACTCATTAAACACCAAGCCCTCTACAAGTTGCCTAAATCACCTCTCAATACTTGCAGTCACATCAAATATTCTACCAACTCTTTTTCTTGTTTTCTCCCAGAGCCTTTGGCTTCTCACAAACTGTCAGGTCACTTCTTATGCTTGGTATCCATTCTAATCCACAATCCTCTTTACAACCATATTTAGGATTCCCTTTGCCTAATTCTTGAATTAAATCTCCTATTTCCAGTATTCTGCATCATCTTCTTTCTTGGTTTACTCCTTTCAGGGTAATTGAATTCTCTAGTAAGTTCTTGAAAAAGATAGGAGACAAATTTATTGTGAATTTGCATGTTTGAAAATGTCTTTACTCCAACTTTTCCTAAACTGATCATCTGACTATATACACATTTCTAAGTTCAAAATAATTTTCCCCAAGTTAAAGACTCATTTTCTCCTGACTTCCATCATTACTGTTGAGAGGTCTGAAGTTATTCTCAGTCCTTTGGATGTGACCTGTCTTTTCTCTCTGGAAACTTGTTTTTTCTTAGTCCTCAGTATTCTGAAATTTCACCACAATGTACTATTATGCATGGATCTATTTTTATCCATTGTGATTGTCCAGTGTGAGCCTGTTTAATCCATTAATTAATTTCTTGAAAAATGGAGCAGAGGTATTATTTCTTTTATTTCTTCCACTTTGTTTTCCTTTTGGGACCTTGTATTTTTTAGTGTTCTTCAGCTGGTTCTCTAGTGTTCTTATCTTTCCTTTGCATTTTCCATCTCTTGGTATTTTGTTCTACTTTCTATGAAACCTCCTCAACTTTATCCTGAAGTGGTTTTTTTGTTTGTTTTTTTGTTTTTTTGATTTTTGCCTTTGTACTTATAACTTCAAAGATCTTTTTTTTCTGGATGTCCCTTTTTATGGCATTTGAATTTATTTTTATGGCATTTGTTTTTATTATTTTTAAGTTTTCCTCACCATAAATCGTCTCTGTCAGCTCAAACTTGTAATTTCACAATTTTAGCCCATCTTGTATCAATGGTCACTTGTGATGTTAGTGCAGGATCAGTTTTTTTCTTTATATTATAAACTTTTATTATATAAAAATTTATTATACAATGAACTTTGGTTCATTATGTAAATTTATATAATAAACTTTTCGCAACGTATTTACCAAAGAATGCATACTTTAACCCTTGATCTATAGAACTATCTTCATTATTTATATTTTGCCTCTGGCCACCTGATTTACCTCCTACAAGAGGCCTCACATTTACTCTGGGTTCTGTTGCCTGACCCTGCTTGTCTGCTCACAGGGCTCCCCGCCTCATCTGTAATCTGTGTTGTCCTACAACTGTCTGCTTCTAGCCCTCTATCTGAAAAAATCACCTGCTCTACCAGCACTAAATGACACTGCTGCTATCCCTAATAGATTTGTTTCTCCGAAGAGAATTAAGCAGAAAAAAAAAATCCCTATTTTCTGACATTCCTTCAGAAGAAAATGTCAAGAAGTTATGACGTTATGGGTAGAAATCCTGTTTTACTAGAAAATTCTTAGTCAAGAGATTACACAACTTAAATACAAATTATGAAATTATATGAATTGATTTTCCCAGGACCATCATATTTTATTCATAATTCAATGAGGTCCTCAGAATATTCTGAAGAAATCTAGAAATGAAGGTCTCAGGGTTCTATTCTGATGGCTGCCTGACATTATGGCAATGGGCTTGATTTCTCAAGGGGACACTTTCTCCCCAACAATAGAGAGATACTGATGAATATGTGGCTTATTTAGTGCCTACAATACTAAAGGTACAACTTGCAGCAAAGATCAGTAGTGAAGCTTTGTCTCTGGAAGAGCACATCACTTTAGTTGCAATGCAGCCCAGGAGCTGTTAACATATTTTAATTTTTGTAATATGTATTGAATTTTATGTACCAAGAGTCTTACAACATTATACCAAATATTAAGAATGTCCTGCAAGAGATAACCCTATATAGAGATGAGAAACCTGAAACTCACAGATGTCAAATACTCATGTAAGAGGAGCAGGGATTCAAGTCCTGATTTTACTCCAAAATTCATTATTCTCCTCTAGTCATGACTCTATTTCATATTATAGCATTAATCTCTGAAAAGAGGCACTCTCCTTCTTTTAACTCATTCTCTGGTTGCTTCATGACTGTGTTGTGTTTTCCCAACAGATTATTGTGCAGCGCTGCCTATCAGGCAAGAACATGTCTCACGTGAAGGCTGCCTGCATCATGTGTGGGTATCTAAAGCTACTGCCCATGTTCCTCATGGTGATGCCAGGAATGATCAGCCGCATCCTGTACACAGGCAAATCCTGAATCCTAAATCCTCTTTACATATGCTTGAATTCTGAGTAGTGGTTTTAAGATGTATTTAAACCTTCATAACTAGAAATCTCATTATGTATGGAAGTAAAAACAGAATTCCAGGTGGAGATAACCTTGTACAGAGGACCAGATGCAAAAAAAAAAAAAGAAAGAAAGAAATGGCATATTTGACATTCTGTTCCCTTATATTCTTTGCACGGCATGCCTGTCTCTTTGTATGCATTTGAGTCTATTTTGTCATTTTCATGAATGGCTTGGATTTAAGTAAGTCTAGAGGATAATGCAGGCAGATGAGGAAGAACTGGGAAAATATGAATTAGATAAGCTGTGTGGTTGAGTTCAAACCATCTCCAAGAAATGTCCTGGAGATGCACTATCACTTCTTGGTCCCTCTAAGATGGTTGGAGAACTGTACCCACTTTCACTGTTTTGGAATTTGGTTGTTGGGGTACTTTAATTTCTAAGTCAACTGAGAGTAACTGCTAACATTGAAAATATTCCTTAAATTCAACTTTCTTTCTTTATTATGAAGAGTGAAGGAAATATGTCAGAATAATTTTTGGCTAATTGAGGCATCTGGTTTTTTATTGGGGCAACTCATCAAATAACAATGAATCCACTTCATCTTTTCTCAACTGGGCGTCAGTTTATTTATCTGAAATCTTGTTATGATGAACATCAAGTGACCAGCATCCCTTCTTATTGCAACATCCCTTCTTATTTCAGTGTTGTTTATAGCAATAAAGGATATATAGATATCCAACAAGTAAGAAATGGCCAAAGACATTCTTGTATACATTCTCTACAGAAAACTGTACACGAGACTAAAGACTGTCTCAAAACTTGGGAAAATGCTAAAGTTATTATATTATGAAAAAAAACAGACTACAAAATATTATCTCAACAATTACCATTACTATGCACACACACTAAAAAAACATTTCTCTGTGAAAAAGGATCAGAAGGAATTAAAAAAATTTAAAGCAGCTAACATCCTAAATTGTCATTATTCAGGGTGATTTTTTTTTTATCCATTTTTCCTATCTGTTGTCACAATATTGTTTAAGCAAGAAAAAGGTATTGTGCAACTGCCACAATGAGGTGAGACATCATCCCATATGGGGCATCACCCCAACAACCATCACAAGTGACACCTCTTCTTAGAGGTAGGTGGAAAACGCTGGGTTAAATGATAGCACACAGGACTAACTTCCTGGGTGTTGTTGTTGTTTTATCTCTGGAGTTCTGTGCTGCTGGAAGGATTTATGCTCTTGCAGCTTTTCTGGAGGATGGAATGAACTCCCTCTGTTTGCTCTAATGCTCTAGCTGAGCCATACTTCAAAGAAGAATCCTGCCCCTCAGGTAGTGCAAGGGGAGCTACAGGTGTGAGACACTTAGGAAGTCATATTCTAGGCAAAAATGGACCAGATTAATGATATGGCATTCAAATTCGAATCTCCAATTTCCAGACAAATGTTTTTTCCTCTCACGCATGAACTTACAACTTGTCTCTGTGTCTGACAGTTGTAGATATTACCTGTGTGGGCCCCACTCACTAAACCCACTTTTCTTAATCTATCCTCAGAGAAAGTGGCCTGTGTCGTACCTTCTGAATGTGTGAAACACTGTGGCATTAAAGTTGGCTGTACTAACTATGCCTACCCAATGCTGGTAATGGAACTGATGCCTAATGGTAAGAAATGTTCATGCTCACATGAATGAATAAGGAAAATGTGATGATAGATGATAGATAGATCGATAGATATATGACAGATTAGATGACAGATGATTGATTGATTGATTGATGATAGATTAGATAGACAGAGATAGATGAGATAGATAGATAGATAGATAGATAGATAGATAGATAGACAGACAGATGTATAAGTAATGAAATATTATTCAGCCTTAAAAAAGAAGGAAATCCTGCTATTTGTAACAACAGAGATGAATCTGAAGGACAATGTGCCAAGTGAAATAAGTCAGACACAAAATAACAAATATTGCATGACATCGCTTACACATGGAACCTAAAAAAAGTGGAACTCTTGGAAACAGAGAGGGGAATGATGGTTTCCAGGGGTTGGGGGTGTGGAGGAAATGGAAAAATGTTGGTCAAAGGGTACAAACTCTCAGTTATGAGATAAATAAGTTCTGGAGACCTGATGTACAGTATGGAGACTATAGTTAATAACAATGTATTGTATACTTGAAATTTGCTAGGAGACTAGATCTCAAGTATTCTCACCACAAAACAAGAAAATGATAACTATGTGAGGTAATGGATATGTTAATTAGCTTGACTGTGGTAATCATTTCACAATGTATACATGTCAAAACATCACGTTGTATACAACTCAGGAGTAACCAGGTGATCTTGTACCTTAGACCCATCAGAGATTAGCTAACACTTCTTTGACCTTTCTCCTCCCTGACACATATAAACGTTGTCAAGAAGAAGAAGGTATGATCCAAGTGACATTACCCACCCACCCCATTCCACAGTTTATCCTATGAAATTTAGGGGCATAACTAACAAACAGAGGGAATCGAAGAATGAATTTGCCATAATATCTCAAAACCCTTTATTTGGCCCACAAAAGTCTTCTTCAACAGAACCACTTACTAGGCTTTTTCCTCTCCAGTTTCTTAAGTCCAGGAAGCCAAGAATTCTTCCTCCCAAAAAAAGATGATACAACACTGTTTCCTCTCTTCCAAATTTCAGTTTCAGCAAATGATCTCTAACTTTATATTTAGTACTAAAATTCTATACTAGATTATTCTCAAATAACCAGGAAATGTGCAGGAAATGCCACATAATAGTATGTGTTGATAAGCACATTGGTTAGTAAATGTGCCAGGTGACACTTTTATCTTTGAACCATTCTGGCTTGGCAAGGCCCTCGTAGATCATCCAATTCCTAACCAGCACTTGCGCCTCTTCTGACCCCAGGACTGAGAGGCCTGATGCTGTCAGTCATGTTGGCCTCTCTCATGAGCTCCCTGACCTCCATCTTCAACAGCGCCAGCACCCTCTTCACCATGGACCTCTACACCAAGATTAGAAAGCAGGCATCAGAGAAAGAGCTCCTTATAGCTGGACGGTGAGAGAATCCTGGTTTCTGTCTAAAATTTCTCTGGAAAAATGAAATAGAGCCTACTCCTCTTTGGGTTCAGATAGACTAATCATCAAGTTCTAGAGAAGATAAAGGGACATTAAAGGACATTCAGTCCAACTTTACCTCTTTCCAAATACAAGACGTGGGGCCATACTTTTAAATGAAATAGTTGCTTTTTTCAGGCCTTCAAATGCCTCTGGTGTCTCTTATTCCTCTCCTCACACCCTCTTTCAACCGCATCTTCCATGAAATTCCATCAATGTTTTTCTTGGGGTATAAAGTTCCCACCAACTCTCATCTGTTAACACGTCATCTTTAGAAGTTTCTCTGAAAGAAGTATCATATTAGGGCCATCCACACACTACTGCAGAGGAGTTTACCAACTGTGTTCATTAAGAAATGGGGTATCAAGAGAAACTGACCACCTATTTTAAAAGATGGTGCTTTGTTGAAGACAGTAACAATTGCTTTGGTAGATTAAGCACTTGAGAGAGAAATTCCAAGGGCTCCATTGATCAAGATCTCGACTCTGGACAAATGCTATAGGAGAGGAAGACCAGGGAAGCATCTGTGTTTCATTGGTGGAGAAACTGTTGAGCTAGAATTCAGTAGGCCAAAGATTCAGCACTTCACTTATAGGTTTATGACCAAGGGTATGAATCCCTTCTGAGTCTCGATGATAAATTAATGAGTTTTTCTTTTCCTCTCTCTCTTATTAAATGGCTACTATCTCCCAGATTACAATATGGAAAAAGGTACATATATGTGAACAATAATTTCCTGATTTATGAGATTTGCACCTTTGTGGGAAGACAATTAATAGATATATTCTATATTGGATAACAAAAAAAAATGCTTGGATAAAATTAAAGCAGGATTAAAGGTTAGGGGCTATGTAAGACAGCTGCTCAGGAAGTCCTCCCTGAGGCAGGGACATTTGAGCAGAATCCTGAGGAAGTTTGGAGTGAGCCCTGTGGCTCTGTGGGGAGAAACAGTAAGGAACACTCACACGTGTGGTATGTGTGAGGACAGCAAGGGGTGAGGTTGGAACATGAGGAACAAGTTGGCATGTGAGGAAGAGTGATAGAAAACAAGGTCAGAAAGAGCCAGAGGTGAAGTCATGCATTAAGCCATAATAGGACTTTGGATTTTTATTACCTGTGAGATAGAAAATAACTGAAGATAACATAGGAGGCCCATGATTTGCTTTCCAATGATGACAGTAATAATGATAGCAGGTATTATTTATTGAAGCTGAACTGTGTTCTAGGCTCTGTGCTTGGAACTTCCCATGGTTTATCACATTTAGTTATTGCAAGGTTGCAGAGTTTTTATAAACCTTAATGGGATCATTGACCTCAATTTCCTGCCCAAATGCTTGTCCCCAGTTCTCCCAATCCCCACCTCTCTGTTTCAGGTGAGCACAACATGTGCAATGACCTTTTACAGACAACCCAATAAATTATTACTGTTCATTCATTCACACAACAAGAACAGAATATTGTGAAGTTTTAAAAAGTCGTACTCTCTGGACTCCAAGAGCTTCTAATAGATTTTTATAGCATATCAATATTTTCATCAATTCTTTCTACCTGCCAAAGTACTCAAGTAATAAAATGCACAAATTAGCATTTCTGGCCAATTCACGCAGCATTCTTGGAGAGTTTATTTTCATTCTTACCTGTGCAAACCGAGTGTTTGTCAATCTAGGAAAAAAGACCAAAATAGGAGTCTGCTTTATCATACAAATAATTACTTAGAAATAGTGTTGTGTTTTTTCTCATTGATACATTGCATAAATTGCATTAGAGAATTATTAATTGCTGACATTTGAAAATTTTTTGTAAATGAATATTTAATCTCATAGTTGAGGCTATTATGACTAAATGTAGACAAACAATGCTTTATTGGCATTTTATTAATGGATAATCATTAAGCATGGCATGGCATGAGGTCGAGGGGCTTGATTTTCTTTGGAAAATCAATGAATGGCCACAATGCATTAAAGAACTAAAGCACAATGGAAGTACTAGTAATACTTTTGTCTAATCTTTAAACCATTTTGTTTTCTTCCCAGGCTATTTATCATTCTATTAATTGTCATCAGCATTTTGTGGGTCCCATTAGTACAGGTATCTCAAAATGGACAACTGTTCCATTACATAGAAGCAATTTCTAGCTATCTTGGGCCTCCAATTGCAGCTGTCTTTCTGCTTGCCATCTTCTGTAAAAGAGTCAATGAACAAGTAAGTAAATATTGGGAAGCTTTTTTCCCAATATTTGGAGTGAGAAAAAAATATTTCTTTCGCTGGTAGAAAAATGTATTCTTTCCACCCAATTTTTACCACTCAAGACCCATCTAATTCCAATTGTGGTCAGCCACAATTTCTAATTCTCACTAAAGTGTGTAAACATATAGTGCACATTGACAGTACAGACTTTATATTTCTTACAAAATATTATATACATACATGGCACAGTGCTGAGGAACACAAGTTTTGGAGTAAGACTGCCAGGATCCAGTCCTGCCTCTGCCACTTAATTTCATTGTGATCTTATGCAAACCATTTGATTCTCTGTAAAATGAAGATAATCGCAGTGCTACCTTATAGGATTGCTGTGAGGACTAAAAGAGATTTTGAAAATGTGAAGTGCTTAGAATAAAACCTACCACAGTAGTAATGGTTCAAAATATGTTAAATTTCATTATGATATACCTAAAATTGATTGATTATTATAGACCATGTATATTTAGTCACTAATTGTTTTGGGGTGTTAGCCTTACTATAATTTTCAGATGAGGGACAGTTGCAGAAGCTTAATATCATGTGCTTTTCTTTCCAAATGTTAATTAATATTAGTAAGTGGGATCTTGGGGTTCAGACTCAGATGCTCGTCCATCTAAAGCTCATACTCTTAATCTCTATATAATACTGTTTCCCCTAAACATAACATCTTGATCAGGAGAACAGGGGACACGTGTTTCCACCCCAACCACTTCTCGGAGAGAATAAATGCTTTTAATTGTCAAAAGTTTGATAGATCTTTCATAACTATCTAATACCAACTCTGTAAATTGTATGTCACACTTCTGTTTATTCTACAAAATCTATATTCTTTAAATCTATATATAAAATAGAAGTCAAGGTAAATTAAAGCTTGGGTCAGAGTAGACAGCACAGGTTTCCCCACTATCTGAAAGTAGAGTGTTTCTATGAAACCTTTCCTAGGCTGAAATGGCATAAAGTGAAGAAGCATTTATCGTTAATTTATACGGAAAATTTTTGGAGCGCTTCCACATTAACATACATCTTGCTAACCGATGCACAGTATAAATCATGGTAAAGCACAGATGCTCACAGACACACTTCAAAGCCACGGCAGCTTGATACTGAGAAGCTGAGTGTGGTTCCCAGGAAAGGAGCTTGGTGGGGCCATTTTTGTTGCTCTGGTGCACGCGGCCTCTGAAACGGCTCACTGGAAAACATACTGAACACTATTTTCACTTTTCACCTTTTCCAAAAAGTGAAAATTTTCCGATTTCTTTTGGTTAGAAAAAAACAAGTACTAATGTAGATCTTCCATAAAAGCAAAGTGGTACATAACGCACTTTCGAAAAGCAATGGATACCTGTAGCGTCCTGTAGTTGGAGAATCGATAGTGCAAGGACGTTTCAGGACCACGGAGAGCAACGGCCCCCTCTCAAACACACATATTAACCCCTTTTCCCTACTTTGGTGACTTTGTGCTCAAGGTTAGCTATTCGTTGGTTCTTAGTAAAGAAAGCAGATACGATGATAATAATGGCCTACTGGAACAAGCTTCTCATCTTTTCTAAATCCCCTGACTTTGTTCTTGTTTCTTTTGCAGGGAGCCTTCTGGGGTCTAATCATTGGGCTTGTGATGGGCCTCACTCGTATGATTGCAGAGTTTGTCTATGGAACGGAGAGTTGCTTGGCTGCCAGTGACTGTCCCCAAATCATCTGTGGAGTGCATTATCTGTACTTTGCCATTATTCTCTTTCTTGTTTCCATACTGGTCATCCTGGGAGTTTCCCTGTTAACAAAGCCCATTCCTGATATACATGTGAGTAATGAGTAATAGATATATGCCCATTTTAAAATAAGAGTTATTCTAAAGCTTCAACTGGTATACAAGCCCCAGGCAACAGAATCATAGCACCATAAGCACTAGGAGGAACCTAAGAGATTATTATGCAGTCATTCAACTAAACAATTTGTACCTAACATTTGCAAAGCACCAGTGAATTAAAAAATGTGGAATTAGGAAATAGGTTTCCTACACAAATAACTCCACAATGAATTTGGAAAGTAAATCTATACCTTTGTTATAGGATACCAGGAAGTAAATAATTAGTGTTGCCTAGGAGACTGGAAAATACTTCAAAGCAGAGCTGTCACCTAGGCTGGGCCTGTTTAGGAACAAGTAGAATTTTGTATGAAGCACAAACACTGACACAGAGGTTTATAAAAAGCATATAATGCCAGGGGGCAGAGAAAAAGTAGAACAATAAGATACACTTTTTGCCTTTCGAACTGGCAAAAAAGTAAATATGTCCAGTGTTGGTGAGGTTGTTGAAAAATGCCCACTCTCCAAAACTGCTGGTGAGTGTATGAATTTTATAATTTGTAGGAGGGCAATTAAGCAGTATTTATCAATTTGAAAATTTTCACACCCTGTCAGTCAACAACCTTACTTCTAGGAGCTTATTGTGTAGAAATACTTATAGAAATACAGGAAATATAGGTATAAAGATTTTCTCTGCAAAAAGCTTTTAATAAAAAAATGGAGACAACTCAAATTTATGTCACTAGTGGAATAGCCCATTGAATATTACACTGTTCAAAATCCTGAGGCACTTAGGATTTGTTTGCTTTTTTAAATGTCCATGATATGGTTAAGTGGGGGAAACACTCATAGCATAATACAGTATCGTATACTATCACTTTTTAAAAATTAAGCACTTATAAGTATGTGTATGTATATTTGTCTGAAAATAGAAAAGTTTAAAGCATATATACCAGAAACTGTAAATAAGAGGTATCACTGGGAGAGGCACTAAGAAGACCAGCAAATATTAGTCATTTTTTTAATTTAAATATTGCTTATATACTAATATTGTTTGAATTTATTACTACATGTATAACTTTTATTTATTTTGCATTCATCATGCATAATCTTTGAAACAATACTTATTTGCATATTTATTTGAAGAGTAGTAAATAGAAGTAGATTATATATGTGGATGGGGAATCCTGAACCACACAAGTGGATTAAATTACTTTACCAAAGACACTTCACCAGAATTCATAACTAAATATTTACACTGTATTTACACTGAAAGAACACTAGAAAACATATTACAGTTTTCAAAGAAGTAAATATAAATGTTAAACTCTTTTATGCCTATAGAAATAACCATTAACCATAATTTATTATTAATTTTTAGAAAAAAATGGTCTGAAGGACCAATGAGATCATTTTTCTAAATTATGTTTGTTTCATTAACATACTGTGAGGTTTGAACTTTCAAAATGGACTGATAAAACTCAGTCATTTCTGAGAAAGTCATGAGTAGTATTGTGGACATAATCTAACCAAACAGTAAAAAGAAATTTCAGGATGATCGTTTTTTGGCAAAACTAGAAAGTACTTGGAGTCCTAATAATATAATTTTAACAAAGAAAGTAAATTTAGTATAAGAAATGCTAAGATTAAGAATCTAAGGTGAATCATATGCTTGTTATGTCAACAACAAATAAGAAAGCTAAATACAAATTCTAGTAAATCTATACAAAGAAGTCATGGGTCAAATATGAGCCAATTAAAATGAAGCATGAATTTGAGCATATGATGAATTATAATTTCAAAAACCCATTTGCTACAGTCATGCCACCCTGAACAAGCCCGATCCCGTCTGATCTCAGAAGCTAAGCAGGGTCGGGCCTGGTAGTACTTGGATGGGAGACCACCTAGGAAGACCAAATGCTGTAGGCATAAAAAATAAAATAAAATAAAAACCCATTTGACACTTGGAGCAATTTCCTTTTGATGATCTAGAGTTGTCCTTGATCTATGGCACGTACGCAAAGAAGTTACATAATAACAAATGCTATTTATCTTCAAAATTTTTAATCAATGTATTAAGTATGGAAATCTTAATTATATTTATGGAAAACAATTAAAATTCTATAAAGCTTGACAGTTTTAAAATAATGATAAAGTTGACAGAAGTTTGAATGTGGACTGGGAAACAGATGTGTAAAGCTATAAGGTGCCATTGGAACTCAATGATAGTACATAGATACTGTCAAAATATGATGGATCCAGAATTGGAACTTAAGAAAATATTTAAAGTTACAAAAGTAACCACTAAACAAACTGAAAGTAATAATGATGTACCTAATAGCAGTTGAATGATAAGGACAATGATAGCAGGGTATAGTGTAAGTTAGATAAATCTTTGACTTTTACGAAATTAGAAATCCAGAAGTAGAAGTTTTAAACATGTTATTTAAGAGTTTCTAATAACTATCAGAAGAATTAAAAAACAGAAATAATTTAAAATGATTAGTGTGTTTTCATGCATGAGTGTGGTAGAAAACCTTTTTTTGTTTTTATCTGTACTTTTCTATGCTGTATTAATACCATTGTATTATTGTGAACATTTGCTCATTATTAACGCACTTGTCAATGGCCTCTGGGTAGCTGCATCGCCTGTGCTGGGCTCTTCGGAACAGTACAAAGGAACGAATCGATTTAGATGCAGATGAGAAAAGACATGAAGAAGCTGATGATGATGTTGACGAAGGTAATATCTGCTTTATATTTGGTATTTATATTCGGTAGAGACTCTATGTACCTGAATTGGTGTAGAGGATTTTTTTTAATGCCACTAAATTCAGTTTCTGAAAAAGCTGTTAGATATGATAAAATAAAACTTTAAAATCTTACCTTCCCATTAAGCTAGACAATTTGTTACATATTAAATCTACTCATTCAATCTGCCTGTCCAACAGTCCATCTGTCCATCCACCCACCATCCATCCATGGATCTGTGTGCCAACTCGAGGTGAAAATCAATTCCAATCTCTCCTGCCCCTGGCCACATATTAAATGTTTAACAAATCAATATTGATTGATTGTGATTAAGCATCTAGCCTCAATCTCTTCTCCAACCTTATTTCTCACTATTCTCTTCAAAACACCAACTATTCCACTCAGGCAGATTTCTTTACTTTTCCCCCACATATACCAAGCTCCCTCAAATATTTCTACCTCCTCTCCAAGAGAAAAAAATATCTATCCTTTATAACTAAGTTCTAATCTCATTTTCTTTGTGAAAATTTCTCCAGCATCCATCCCCGTGGCTCTTTGCTTACCTGATATTTTTTAAACCACTGACAAAGTTTAGCACTTCAGGACATGTTGTCTTAAACTGTACACTAATTGTTTGGTTTGAGTTGGTTCTTCAAATTGAAGGAAGGGTCAATGCCTCCTACTCCTCTGGGGTTTGTATATTAATGCTCCTGAGAAAAACTGGCCTATGATTTTTTATTTTTGTACTTTGTCTGGTTTTGGTATTTATATCATAGTGTTCTCATAGAAAGAATTGGAAAGTAGCCACTTTTTCATTTTATGGAAATATTTCAATAAGATTGGAAGGATATCTCCACTGAAATTTTGGTATTTTGTCAATAATGCCATTAGGGCCTCTGCATACGTGTGTATGACAGAGAGAGAGAGAGAGAGAAGCTTTAAACTATTGATTCAATTTCGGTAATGCCCATAGAACTATTTAGAGTTTCCATTTCTTCATTAATCAGTTTTGGAAAATTATGTATTTCTAGGAGTGTGTACATTTAGTATACATTATAAATATATTGACACAAAGTTGTTTATAATATATACTTATTGTCTTTTCTATCTCTACCTCTATAATTATGTCTTCTCTTTAATTCCTAATGTAATTTTTTGTGATTTCTCTTTTTTCTTGATAAATCTCATTAAAGACGTCTATTTTACTTTTCTCAGAGCCTCAATTTTTGGCTTTGTTAATTCTCTCCATTATTATCTTTTTTCTAGGTCATTACTTTCTGTTTTCATATATATACCCTACCATTTACATTATTTGGGTTTCTCTTGCTGTTATTTTTTCTAACTTAAATTGAGTATTGCTTCATTAATTTTCAGCTTCTTGTATAATGTAAATAACTAAGGCTACACGTTTCCTTCGAAGTAATGTTTTTGCTGCTTCTCACGGCTTTTAATTTGTAGAATTTTCTTTGCCATCTATTTCTAAGTATAGTTTTACTTTCATTATGGTTTTTTTATAGACATTTGAATTTTGAAGTATGTTTTAAATTTCCTAATGCTGCAACAAATAACCTTGTACATAAATACTAAAAGTAGTACAATAGCCTTGTATTGTTCTTGCCAGTATACCTTTGAGATAGATTCTGAGAAGTTTGAGTTTAGGGTCAAAAGATTAATACCTATGCACTTTTGCTATATACTGCCAAAGTTCCCTCCATGGGAGTTGAATCACATTTTCCTCATAAACAATGTATGAGAGTGCCTGTTTCCACATAGACTCACTTATATAGCATATTATGAGACTTTTGAATTTTTGCCACTGATAGATGTGTAGTGATGTCTCCATGTGGTTTGAATTTCTCTTTTTTGAGTGAGTTTAAGAATTGTCTTTTTTCTTTGAACTGTGTTCATCTCTATAGTATGTTTACATGGAGTTGTTGATATTCTTTTCTAGAAACCCATTAACAGTAAGGATATTCAACTCTTTGTGATATAATATGCAAATGGTTTTCCCCAGTTTGTCACTTGTTTACTTTGTTGAACTTTATGCTGTGCAATAGTTTTCTATTTTTATAGAATCGAAGTTATCTATATTTTCTCAGGGATTCCTCTAACACTTAGAAGTGGTCATAATCATTCTTTACAGTCATCTGTACTGCACTGACAGGAGTTCATTCCCCATGTTTTGTGATCACTTGTTTATCTTTCTTGGTTTCAGATAATCCTGAAGAAACTCATGGATGTCTCAGGAGGGCTTATGACTTATTCTGTGGTTTGCAGAATAAGGGCCCCAAGCTGAGTAAAGAGGAGAAAGAAGCCCAGGAGAAGAAACTGACAGACACATCTGAGAAGCCCTTATGGAGGTCTATAGTGAATGTCAATGCCATCCTCCTCCTAATAGTGGCAGTCTTCATCCATGGCTATTTTGCCTGAACTTTCTCCAGGCCACCAGAATATTTATTAAGCAAAGGATATTATTAATTTTTCCTTTTTAGAGTTTGTTCTGTTGCAAAAGGGAGATGAGCAGTTAGTAATTTTATCCAATGAGATGACTATAGATCTGACTAAGCTTTTGTTTTTCCTTTGTGTCAATAAAGAGAGAGTTGATAATGTAGAAAGCTGGTGAGCTGACTTCATGTGTGTGTAAACTAGGAGCATTTGGGTCTAAATTCTTTTTTTTGTATCTCACCTGATAGATTGCCCTATGCTATAATTGTTCTCTGTTATTTTCAGAGGTTTCTACTTAGAAGGGAATGCCTCTCCCAACTCTGTTTCACCTAGTAAACTTCTCGTTATAAAACAGCGAACTTCTCCTCTCATTTTTCTATCACTCATCTCAAGGATTTGAAAAATAGAAATATTTTCTAATACTTGAGGGGCGGGGAGGGAAGCTGTAAATGCCCATTGTAAGCGTTTTTATAAATTTACTGGTAATTATTAACTTATGCCTTAAATAAAGCCATCCCCCACTAAACATTAGTATACCAAGCCACTGACTTTTTAAATCACTTTGTTAAAATATAATTCATATACCATAAAATGCATCTATTTAAAGTGTGCAATTCCTTGTATTTTAGAGACTTTCCCAGACTACAATTGCTAAGACTATATTCCTTGTCCATGTAGTCACAGAACCCTCTGTTTATTAGCTTTTGTTCCTCTGTCCCTCAAATACTGTTTTGATATTGACTTCCTTAAATATCAGCAGCTCTACAAGTCTTTGCAAATTGACTCTGTTTGGGGGCCCTCCAAATCTTAACCAGGCTTGCACTAAGCCTAGTGTTCAGATGAAAGCTTTCAGTCTTCTCGAGTCTTTTCTGAGCATGTGTCTTGCCCTGGTCATGCACATGACTTTCTAAATTGCCCAATATGTATGGTTTATTTTGAGTGTCCTAATTTCCCAAAGACACTTTTGCCAGATTTTGCCTGAAGTAGTCTATTATATATTTTGACTGTAATCTTTTGCCTTAGGCATCTGAGTTTTGTTAGTTTGACTTGTGGTGTTTCTGAGCTTCTCCAGTCTGAGTTTGGAGTTAGGTGAAACAGAGAAGAACACCTTGTGTTAGTCCTTCATGTGTCTCCCAAACATGTTAGAACAAGCATGCACAATAATCTGTGAATATGATCTGCTCTGCTCCTTCTGCAATCAGGGAAATTGTTCCACCCTGGGAACAGAGGCCACCCTATGATTGCTGCTGCTTTAAGATGGCCACCACACAAAAGAGAAGGTGATAGTCACTATCAGTAAGAGGCACCATTTTGTGGTGACTTTTTCTTGATTTAGCACTTTGTTTAGTTGCTATAAGCTTTCATCTAAGTTCTAGAGTTCTCACAAAATTGGTTCTGACAGTTTCTGCTGATTTTTCAATGTTTCTGTCAGGGGGTGAAAGCTTAGGGTGGCCCGTTCCACCATTTTATTGATGTCATATTTTTATCATGTCCTCCTGATTTTCTTTTTTTGAAGATGTTTTCTATTTTTTGTCCATCTTTTTCCTAATGGTTTCCTCCTGTCTTTTTCTTGTTGATTCACAGGAATCCCTTGAATATTCTGGTTATCAATTGCTTGCCATTTTTTGTATCACTCCCTTCTTCGTATTCTGCTTACTCTTTTTCTGGAGCTCCAATAAAATGGATGTTGGACTTCCTGGGTCATGTCTTTTGAGTTTTATTTCACAGTTTCCACTTTACTTCTTATTAGTACATTTTAAGATAATTCCTGGGCTCCATATTTCCATCCACTAAGTTTAGTTCTGTGCATTCTGCTATTTATCCCATCATTCAAGTATTTTATTTCAACAAGTTAAATTTCCCTTTCGATATCTTTGGGTAGACAGTACAGTTGAAGTATTTAAGAATTAGAATTCTGGAGTCGGGACCCTGGCCCTGGAGTGATCAGAACTGGGATGTGAGAATGAGAGACAGGGAGTGTGAGCCTATAAAAACATCATGTGTTAATTAACATCAAGGACATGATGCTGAAAAGTTGTTCTCTAAAATTAAAGACTGAGAAACTTGGCTATTTAAAATCATATTGGTGAAAATAAAATATCTTACTAATTTCTGGAGGTTCTGAGTCATGTGGTTCTCTGACAGAGAAGCAACCTCAATTTCCAAGGTGCATAGCTTCAGATAAGGAGTTTTTAGATATAATATTTCATATTGATCTTAACTTTGAATTTCCACAATAACAGGAAGCCTAGGTCTGCTTTCTACACTAGGCTGGATATTAACCCCTTTATATACTCTTTGCTTTACTTTAAGCCTAATGAAATATTGCCTCTTGTAAATTTTTCCTGAACTCCACCCTTCCTCAAAATCCTATAATGACCCAAACCCTTTCTCTGTTTGATGAGAAGCTGTATTTCTGCTTAACTTTCTCCCTTGCTGCAGCAAGTTAAATAAACCTAGCTTTGCAAGACCACAGGTGTGTTCCTGGTGGCTCCAGTTAGTGGGCTTCAAGACGGGTCAGAAATAGGTAAAAAGTGAAGGTAGGGACTAATGATGTTGGGTTCACTAAGTAGAAAAAAATGGAGATGGTAAGATGGCTGGACCAGGCAAATGAGTACCGAGAAGAAAAGAATGGAGAAAAAGAAAGAAGAGGAAGAGAAGGTGAAGGAGTCAGAAGAAAGATTGAGAAGCAGACAGGTGGTCTTTTAAGGAAACAGTAGTGTGGTTCCTGATTAACACAGTATCTGATGGTGTCTGGTAGACCTTTGAGATGGCTATGAGAAGTAGAAGGAATCTGTTGTAAGAATGTACGTGCTGAGTGTGGTATGATAAACTTGGTGCAGCCACGAGAGAATCAGGCTTGAAAGGAAGAAGTTTATTATATTCATAGGTTCTAGAGAGGGGGTTACCACATGCCATGCAGGGCCAAAGTGGGGAGCACCAGTGTTGGTGAGAAGGCAGAAAGGAACACGGGGAAGGCCTAGGCCACAGACTTTGTTGGGGTTTCTTCACAAAAGGCAAGGCAGGGCAAGGTAAATAGCTTAGGATTGACCAGTTTGAATAATTTGGGTGGGTTTGAGAGTATTGAGATTGTCTCTAGTTGCCTCATACTTGGCCCTGGGATGATTTAGGGCAGGGGAAATATTGGCTTGGTGTGTGAAAGTTAGATAAGAAGGTGATTGGGGCTATAGACTCAAGATTGGCTGATTTGTATATGAGAGATGTGCTCCTGGACAAGCCCTTTGTTATCCACAAGAAAGGGCTAGCCATTGGAGGGGCAGTTTCTCCCCAGTCCATAAGGCCCCCAAGTGCCAGAGAATCAAGAATACAGAAAGTAAGAAAAAAAATGGTTAATATAGTTGGCACTGTGATCAATGGCTATCAAATAGACAAATGCAGAATCGAATAAAACACAAAACAGGATCTGACTCCCTTACAGATATATTAGTCTACTAGGGCTGCCATAACAAAGCACTACAGACAGGGTGGTTTAACCAGAATAAATTAAATTTTTCACAGTTCTGGAGGGTAGAAGTCTAAGGTTAAGGTGTCAGAAAGTTTGATTTCTTTTAAGGCCTCACTCCTCAGCTTATAGATGGCTGTCTTCTCCCTATCTTTCACACAGTCTTTCCTCTGTGTCTGTGTCCTAATCCCTTTTTATAAGGATAGCTGTCATATTGGATTAGGACCTATCCTAGTAATCTCATTTTAACTTAATTACCTCTTTAACGGCCCTATGTCCAAATACAGTCACATTCTGAGGTACTGGGAGTTAGACTTGGACAAATGAATTTGGGGGTTAGAGGAAGGACACAATTAAGCCCATAACATAGAATTGATTTTGCATCTTGTGGAAACAAGGACCATTTTCTCTCATGCTGGAGTCAAATAGAACCAGAAATCATCATTATCCACATCCTGGCAGTCTTAAAAAGACTTCATGGAAGACTAGAAGCTTTGGCATGAAAGATATATTCCTATCACTGTTTGGTCAGGGAGAGATATCCACCTACACCAAAATTAGGAGCACAGGATTGAACAAAGTAACCAACTTCCCTGAACCTTCATCGTTCATCTGAAAACAGATAGGAATGTTTAACTCACAGATTCAAATGTTATAAACTTATAACATTTCTTAATAAGTAGATGCTCAATAGATGGTGGTCTCCTCACTTGCATACATCCCAACTCATTCCAAGGTCTTCGGATTTGAAGGAGAAACATTGTATCATTGAAGGGAAATTATGTGCCAAGGAGGAGAGACTGTCAACCCCTAGATCATAAACTCCAAGGTCTTTTTCTTGGGTAAATCCTTGAATCTTTGAACCTCGATTTCTTCCAAATGTAATGCAGACTTCATGGAACTATTGTAAAGATTAGATGAGATCATTTCATATTGCCTAAAAGATCTGGGCCAGAGAAGATGCCCAGTAAATATTAGTGCTTTCTCCTCTCACTTCACCCTTATCTGCAAAACATTCTATTTGTAAGACTGACTTTGAGGGCAAGTATATATTTATGATACATGATGGGTACCAGATATAAAATAAAATAAAGTCAAGTTGATAAAGGGTCAGGTCTTAGATATCTTCTTGGGGCAAAGTCAGAATTAAGCAAATGGATTCAAAGGTCAGCAGGGTAGGATTTTTCTGTGCTTTGACACTGTAATGTGTCTCAGCCATACTCACACATTTTTTTGTTTCAGAAAAGACTTTTGGTCCTGAGACATCACTAAAAACCTCGAATAAGGTCTGGGAAAGCAGTTCTTCCAGTTCTGCCTGCCTTGGTGATGAAATGAAGCCTCTTTGGAAGTTAACTCTAAGTAGTTGTTTTCAAAGTGTGCTCCCCAGACCAGCAGCATCAAAATGGTTAGGAAATTTGTTAGAAATGCAAATTCTCAGGCCCTACTCCAGACCTAATGATTGGGAAACTCTGAAGGCGGATCCCAACAACTATGTTTTAACAATTCCTCCAGGATTTCTGATACAGCTACAGTTTGCAAACACTACTCTAAGCCCTTTGATTCTGAAATGCATGTGTATGTGCTGCCCGCACTCAAGTGTAAAGTAGGTCCCTTTATTGGGTGGACATTTGCCACCAGTTTTCCAAACATGGGATGAATTGTATCAAATCACATGTTCTTTGAGTTGCTCTTAGAACTACAAAAGCTAGCTGAGTCAGGGACACTATGTGGGGCTTTTGGACTGAACAACACCCACCTGAATCTTTCAGAGCCAAACAACACTGCCCCATTAACCTCACTCACATCTCCTCAATCCCATCTCCACCAACCCACTAAGACAGTGGCACCTCATTCAAACGGTTCCATTTGCCTAAATCCAATTAGAAGATTAGAGGTGTTTTGGGGGCTGGGGTTGGGAGCTAAAATGAAGAAACCTCTCTCCTCCAACTAAACATATATGTTTTTCTCCCAAGGGTTGCTTTTGTGGTACAGGACAAACTGCAGTGCATCTTTTAGGAGATGGTGACTTCAGCACTAACAAAGAGTAGGTTCCACTGAGTTCCAATGATAGAAACTTCTCTAAGTAAACACCAATGCCTGTCTCAGCTACAAGTAATCAATGCTCCCATGTAAGTCCCCAGGCAGGTCCCCAGGGACCAACCTCACTCTGTAGAGTACAAGGCCTGTCTTTTCATTTTGAGAGT